TTCAAGTTCTAAGTTCAATTTCTAATTTCAAGTTCAAGTTCTAATTCTAAGTTCAAGTTCTAATTCTAATTTCAAGTTCATGTTTAAATTTTAAGTTCAACTTCAATAACTAAGTTTAAGTTCTAATTTCAAGTTCAAGTTCTAATTCTAAGTTCAAGTTCAAGTTCTAAGTTCAAGTTCTAATTTCAAGTTCAAGTTCTAATTCTAAGTTCAAGTTCTAATTCTAATTTCAAGTTCATGTTTAAATTTTAAGTTCAACTTCAATAACTAAGTTTAAGTTCTAATTTCAAGTTCAAGTTCTAAGTTCAAGTTCAAGTTCAAGTTCATGTTCAAATTTTAAGTTCAACTTCAATAACTAAGTTTAAGTTCAAGTTCTAAGTTCAAGTTCTAATTTCAAGTTCATGTTCAAATTCTAAGTTCAACTTCAATAATAATTCTAACTAGTCCTAAATTCAAAATTCAAACTAGTCTTGAAATCACAAATTCAAACTAGTCCTAAAATCCCAAAATCTAACTAGTGCTAAAATCCTAAATTCAAACAACTCCTTAAATACCCTAATTCAATCTAATCTTACAATTCCAAAATCAAACTAATTAACTCAAGAAATACCGAATTTCAAACAAATCCTAAGATACCCTAATTCAAACAAACCCCAACATTAAAATTTTCATTTCACAATCAACAAACACAAACTAACAATTAAATAATCCCTAATTCAAACTAACCATCTAAATCATTCACTTACTAACTAACAATCAATCAAACTAACAATCAATAAAAAAACTAATTCAATACACTAATTAACAAATTCAATACTCAAATTGAAAGAAATTAAAAATAATATTATGAAACCCTAATCTTCAAATAAAAGAGAAGGGCAGTGGATCGAAGTCGGGGTCAGTTGCCCGGAGATGCTGTTGCTCTCCTCGCCGGCTGCTGATGTTGATTGCTTGGAGCTCGCTGGCGGCCGGAGCAGTTGAGGGAGAGACAGAGCAACGAACTTTCGCTGATTGGAGAGACGAGAGAGAGGCGGCGATTTGTCTCGCCGTTCTCGCCGGTGAGAAGAGACGGGAGGGAGCAAGGAGATAAGAGATGAGAAGAGGAGGGCGGCGGGAGGAGGGCGACGGGAGGAGGCTGGGCTGCTTGAGAGAGAAGAAAAGAATGAGTTTTCAAAATTAGAGGGTTTGGTCTTTTTTTAGGTCAAAAATAGGAAGGTTAGGTAGATTTAATTTGAGCCATTGGATTAGTTAAGATGAGCGGCTAGGATTTGATCTAGGATTCACTTAAAAGGATGGACGGTTAAGATTTAAACTAATGTTTCAAGATTTGGACAAAAAAGGTTATAATTGCACTGAATGAATGGCTAAAATTGCAACTAAAATTGATACAAGAGGCTATAATTGAAAAACGAAATTGGATTGAGGTGGCTAGAATTGCAATGAATTGAATAAGGAAAAAGCTAAAATTGAAAGGAATTAGATTAGAATGGGCAAAATATTAAATGATTTCGAGAAAAATTAAAGAAATGCTATCCAATTAAAATACTACAAATATTATAACATTTTATATAATAAAAAATCACTTAAATTTTAAAACATTTGAATAAAATAATTATTCCGAGTTTTACTTATAATTTTAAAATATTTAATAATATTTACGATAATTTTATAAAGCATGCAAACTAAAATATATAATTTTTAGACAAAATCGATTAAAAATTTAAACTCGGAATATTTTCAAAAAAACACGTATTTAACCAAATAGCACTTCTGAAAGGGTTATAGGTCTGTCAAAATTGGGTGTCAACATACCGACATCGTGAAGTTGATATTATCTAAATAAAATAATTATTTAAATATACCGACCTCTTTAGGTTGGTATTTATTAATTTATTTTAATTTAAACTCACCTTATGAGGTTGATTTTATTAATTAAAATTACATACACATACATACATACATACATA